CTCCCCGGGCACCGCGACCCCGCCGCCCTGCCCCGCCGACCGGGCAGGGCACAGCCGCCCCGCCGCCCCGGGGAAGGCAGGCTGAGGGGAGGGGAGAGAAGGGCTCCCGCTTCAGGGTGCTGGATGCAGCTTAGAGGGAGTGGTCCCAGAGACAGGACGGCCGGGACCCCCACATCCTCCCCGGTAAAGCTGCGGGGTCCGGCCAGGTGATGCTCGCACAGAGCTCCGGGCACCCGCTGGAGGAGAGGGGAATAAGGCAGAGCTGAGAAATCGAATAAAAAAATTGGCTGCGTTACAGTGACAGTGATGCTGGGAGCGTCACTGACAATGGATGCAGCGGGAGGACCGCAGGAACAGCCGAGATTTAGGGAAAAGCTCTCCCCTTCCCCATGTAGGTGACTTCCCATTTCGGTTAAGAAGAGGAATTATCTGCAGAGCCCAGAGCCCTTCCCCGTTCAACCAAAGCGTTATAATTTTTTTCTTTTTGTTTTGTTTTTTAACATTTAAACCCTTATTGTTTTCGGCTGAGTGGTCCTGAATAGACGCCGAGAATAGTCGCGAGGAGTGAGAAGTCATTTGTAGGTCAGGAAAGCGACTTAAAGCAGATTTCGGGAATCTTTTGAAATATTGATCACCTCGTAGTGATCATTCTGCGTGGGTTTTTTCCCCCTCGGTGCCCTGAGAGAGCGACCGCGGGGCTGGGTGCGAGGTGATCGCCGGCCGCCCCTTCGGAGGAGCGGGGCCAACTCCGAACGTCTCGGGATGGGATAAAATCACTTTCTGAGCTGCGAGGATACGATTTATTTTCCGTAGAGAATTATCAAGAAGCCACTCTTTGTTCCACAAATAGCTGCTCAGTGGTAATTTCTTCCCGGGAATATTAGGGACTATGCTTGGAAGGGCAGCATGTATGTTGAATTAAGCACAATATGTTCTCCCCTCTGCTCTATGCAATGTATTTTTTTCTAGAGTGCTTGTCAAAAAAATCCATTCTTAATTTGATATCTTGTTATTGTCTCTTCCTCCCCCCTTATTCTTTTTTTTTTTTTCCCTATTGTTTTTGTTTTCCTTTCTCCCCTTCTTTAAGAAAGCTCCTTTGCTTGTTTTCTGTAGACCAAAATTAAACAGATTTACATTTTCTCCAATCATTTCTCCACAGAAATGGAGCTGGACTGAGACTCGCCGTCTTTTCTTTAGTATCAAGTACAATTTGTCTTTTGCTTGTGAAGATTTGGTAAATCAGAAGGCAGATAGATAGCGCAGATGGTCGGAGGTGTCGGGTCAGATTATGGTACGCCTCAGTACAGTGCTAAGCTCATTCTGACGGAAAACCCTGATATTATTTTCACAGATCTACACAGTTCACTTGAAAAAAACCCTTCGAGCCATTTACATCATTTATGTGAGGCTCACAGCTAGCGGGATGGAAAAGCTTTCAATACTGCTCATTTTCATAAAACCCGACAGAGCTGGGGAGACATAAAAGCGCACACAAAACTCACGAGTTCAGAGACACTCCACAGAAACTTAAAAAAATATAAGGAGTGACTTTTCTGCTTCACCTTTACCCAAGTTTTATTTGCCAATCTACTTACGGGGGGAAAATAAAGGCGGGGGGGAGAAAAAACTAGAGAAGAGGAGAATATAATGTATAAATATTGCCGAGAGTCCTCTTCCAGCCTTCCATCCCACCACTAGGATGGTCCTCTCCGCTAGGGAAAAAACAATAATTTGACCAAGTCAACGAAAGATCCCAAATAACCTTTTCGGGCAGGAATTTAAAAAGCCTCCAGATCTCCTCGGTATGAGCATCGGGCTCCTTTAGCGAGCGGGTGAGAAGGCGGCGACCTCGGCGGCTCCGGG